ACATAAAACATCTCGACAGTATCATATGCAAAAAAAGTGCTTGTTGCTTGAAGAACGAAGATTTGCCTCTCTAAGACAGTGGCTTGCCGACAAAGGTATCTTCAAGGATTTTCGAGAAGCAGTAAGAGGGAGGGGGGAGAGGCGCCTAGAGGGGGCTGTGACGTAGAAACATTCTCGATGGCGTGCTGATGTATAAAACCAATGTCATCTTGAACCGGTTTAAGCCTTGCCAAAATACTTCCTTCCGGAGAAACACTGAGCTGCTAATTCTTCTACAGGATAGAAAGAAAGTCAGGTTCGTAGTGGATGACTGCTAGGCGATTGTAGTAGCAGCAGCACTTGGTCAAAACAACTGGAAAACTTCCGGCTGTACAGCTGGCAAAATCAAACTGAGAATTACAGATTATTCATCGGCTACAAGTAAGCGGGCAAGTAACAATAACAAAAAGCATACATCGGCATGTTCCGGAAGTGGCCAAAGATGCTTGAACATTTTCATTACAATTTCATTGACGATGGCGGTGGAAAGCTTCAGCTCCATGTTGCCCAACACTTGCTCACACAGGCAGCGCCAACAGTTCCTTAAATCATCCCGGATGTCTTAGCTTACATTTCTAATATCTCCTTGGATATCTCATCATCATAGTATTCTATTAAAACAGTGTTGAAAACCTCTTTGGCACTGCTTTTTTAATCAGAGCTGCATCATTTTTTGACTAGTTTGCTAATCTGATGGCCGAAACATCCGTTTTCATTCCCTCAGCTACAATCCCTCAGTATTTCCACTAGTTTTCAATAAAATTGCAGTCATAGCTAAAGCTGTGGTATTCATCTGAATCTAAAAAAATTTTTTTCCTGAACAGATATTTCGAAAAATGAATTACCATCCAGCTCGATCATCGTGATCGAACAGAGGGACCATTTTGAAGAGTTGCAGGACGGTGAATTTCTTCAATTCAAACAGTGCTTCGCTTTCATCGCCTGTCAGAGCCGTAGTTACATAGCTGAAAATTCTCATAGTAAAAATTATACTACCTGAAGAATCAAAAAAAAAAAAAATAAATAAATAGCAACGCGCCAGACTAGCTGGTGCGATCATGCGTTTTGCGCAGTTCAGCCTATCGAACGATTGCCTACTAATGATTTTCACTGTTTTGTACTTTATTCTGTGCAAAAACAGTTCAAACATTGGAAAACAGTTGAAAATTTCACGCACCAGCGCATGAAAGCTGAATTCGAAACCTTGAAGGGTGAATATCTTTCCGTGATTTAAAAATTTCACGCACCTGCGTATGAAAGCTGAATTCGAAATCTTGAAGGATGAATATCTTTCCGTGATTCCCGAGTTAATAGTTTATCCGTCAAAAATCTCACTAGCCCGTAGGTGGCACCCAAGAACGCGAGAACGCTGAATTTGAATGGCCAAGGTTGAGCGTGGGCGCTGGGTCATTACCCTAAAATTTCAGCCTCCTAGACTCCGTGGTTCTCGACATATTAACTTACCCCTGAAAAATTTTCACGGGTCGTACGTGTTACCCGGGGGTACGGGGAAGCTGAATTTAAATTTGCGGGGTCACAGGTGGGTGGGGAACGTTACACTAAATTTTCAGCTCCCTAGCTTTTGTGGTTCCCGAGTTGAAAGTTGCGGACAAGTTACTGTGGACACACACACACACATACACACTCAAACACACACACACAGACAACCCCGTAACAATATGCGTTTTGTACTGCTGTTACACAG